TTTTAATTGATTCACGTCAGTTTTAATGTTATGTAAATTTAAAAGAAGTTATTGTAAAAAATGATTATTAACAACTACTCACTTAGAATTGATTTGAGATTGTCTTCTTACAGCACTGTATCTAATAGCGATGGTTAAAGCTTTAGATAGATAAGATGCTATATCTTGTATTAGAAGAACTCGTACGAACATCATTGTACCGTAAGTTAATTTATCGCTTGTAGCTTTAATATAAGTTCCATCTTCTAATATCTGAAGAAGAAAAAGAAAAAAAAAAAAAAGAAAGAATTTATTAAGAAGTAAAAATGTAAAATAATTTATTTCTTCCGTTTTTACCTGAGAATTTTTCATTAACATATGTTCTCTTGGTATTCTAACATTATCAAACCCTAAGAACCCATTATTGGTCGCATTCATTCCTAATTTAGTTCCAATTTCTCCAATTTTGATACCTACGAATATAAGAACCTTTAATATTAATACTTTTAATATATTATTATTATTTACATACCTGGTAAGGGTTCATGAGTCTCTTCATCTCTGAGTTGTACGATAAATGGATGTACTCCTTTGCATTCACCTTGTGTATACAATTGTGCAACTACTACGGCATAATTCGCAGTATGACCCACTGAAAATCAATGAACAAAATTAAATGTTATTCTTACAGTATTTACAAAAATGATAATAATATGTTATATAAATGTAATACGTTATTATCATTTATAATTAACATAGAAAATAATACTAACAACCACCAGGCCACCATTTGTACGCAGTTAAAGTTGGACTGTTCAATACAAATTCTTTAGTTTTAGGATCATAAGTCGCAGTAGTTTCCAAACCTCTGATAAACGTTCCATGACCAAGCTCTGTCTAAAATAAATCAATTACATTTTAATATATATATATATATATATAAAAGAAAAATATTAGTAAATAAAAATAATAATATTATCACTTATTAATTATTAATTAAGAAGCTTTATAATATCAATTTTACTTGAGCATAAGTTCCAATGATATTGCTAGACCAAGCTCTAGGTAACCAAATCATTTGTTGTTCAGATGAACCTTGTCCCAATAATGCTGGTATAAACATTGCATGATGTAAAGTTAACGGATTTCCATCTTTTAATACAGCAGATCCTAACATCCCACCTAAGATTTGTCTATAAGAAAAAATATAAATAATTTGCGATGATAAATAATTATTTATAATATGTGCATTTATAATTTTATTTGATAGATTAAATTATTTAACATATATTTTAAAATTTAAATTAAAAAAAAAATATATATATATATAAATATATATACAGGGTGATTCTTGTAACGGGGACAGGGTAATATCTCGCAAACTATTGACATTTCGATGACCTTCACTGAATACTTTTTAACGCAGAATAAAAAAAGGAATGGAATAGTGTAAAAAAAAAATATAAAGTTGCATTTGAAAAAAAAAAAGTGCAACTACATCTAGCTGGTGCATCGATGCATTTTTAAAACAAGTAAGATCATAGAAAGTTGACATTGGATGTGTCATATAACTTTTTCCCTTATGATTTTTTTCTATTGTTACTTAAAAAACAAGTTATTACCTGTCCCCGTTACAAGAATCACCCTCCTGTATTGGGATCTCAATATATATATTAGTGTGGGTCAAAAAAATGACTTATTTTTTTTTTTTTTCAAGTGCCACAGAAAAATGGGTTGCTAGACACCTTAAAAGAATTCTCACCAAATATGAGCTCTTAATTTTAATAGAAAGATCCTCCGCATTGCAGTTTTTTATTTTTTTATTTTTTTTTTTCAGTCCAATAGATTAAAATTCATAACTCATTATTTATTGATTGTACAGAAAAATGTTCTAGACGAATTTTGTAGGAAATTTAATGCTCTACAAAAAAGGTATCTTATATTTTTTCCGTAAACCTCACCATTTGAATGATATTGAAGATTGAAATTTGATGATTTTTAGACAAATGAAATCATTTTTGCTTATGAATTTTATAACTCGACAATAAATGATTATTAAAAAATGCGCAATACAAATTATTATAGGAAATTAACTGTTCTATAAAAATGGTGTCTTATGTCTTGGCGATTAAATTAAGCGTTTAAAAGATATTCATCATCATCAAAAAAAAATGTCTACTGATTTTATAAGTTTATACTGATGGATATAAGTGTACTGATTAGATATTCGAAAAATTTCTATTTAATTTATACATTTTGAGAAAATTCACACGAATTTTAATTTTTATCAACTGAGAAACTTCCAAATATTTTTCAGGATTTTTTTTTTTTTTATGTGTAAGTATCTTTGTCTACATTAAAAAAAAGAATAAATTGTACATTATTTATCGCTTAGTTAATTATTTATTAATAAAAAAAGCAAACTTTTCATTATAAATATATTATGATATGTTTCAGTTTCAATATATATATATATATATATATATTGCATTTGTTATAAAAGATATTAGATAAATTCTTACATATATGTAAACATATCACTTGATCCCGTAGTTTGTAGAGAATCTAATTTTTTCAATACAATGCATCCTTTTCTTATCGCATCCTCATAAATTTCTTTATGACTTTTATACTTGGCAGGCACATTGTCCTTTAACAATGGATCGTTTAAAAAATAGCTTTCTAAAAATAACAAAAAAAAATGAGACAATTAAAAAATAAATCATTTTAAATCATCGTTCGTATAAAATCATATTTAAAAAAAAAAAAAAGAAAAAAAAAAGGACAAAATAAAATATAAAAGGCTTAACGTAATTATAGAAGAATATTATGAAATAAAATGCAGTCGAATGGAAAAAAAAAAGAAACAAAAAAGAAATTTAAATAAAAATAGATCAATAGGTCTTATTTAACATACAAGAGTATCCATGGTCATGTCTGTATGAGACTGTAATTACAAATTCATATATTGAAAAGGTTAAAATGCTTATGCTAATGCTTATTATCCGTTTGACATATAAGCAAATTAAATCAATGTCACTATCTATTTCATTTAAAATTAAAATACTGATGAATCATCCCAATAATGGCATAGCTTTTTTTCCTTTTTTTTTTTTTCAATAATATAAATGAAATATCATCATAGAGATATTACAGATAGAAGAAACAAACCATAGGCGGTTGTGTAAGTGGAAATGTCTCTGCATGAATATAGCAGTAAAAAACGAAAGGTTGATGTTGTCTCTCTCTAACTTATGCGGTACACATATATATATATAACGCAAGAAAGAACAAAAAACTCGCAAATTAAAGAGAGACAACATCAACCTCCTATCTTCTATCCAGTGAAGCCAGATCGCGGAACATTTCTATCCCTTCTCTCAAGTCCAGCACGTCTCGCACAACAAAATTTACGTGTCCGGTGTGTCGGAAAACCGAAAAAAGCCGAGGGAAGTCGAGATAGCTGCGCGACAGAGGAGAAATAATACCCCCACCACGCATACTACACATTGTTTTACAAATTGTTCAAATGTGTCCATGTATTTCTTTGCGACGCGTGGTGGGGGTATTACTTCTCCTCTGTCACGCAGCTAACCTCGGCTTCCCTCGACTTCTTTCGGTTTTCCGACACACCGGACACGTAAATTTTGTTGTGCGAGGCGTGCTGGACTCGAGAGAAGGAGTAGAAATGTTTCTTAATCTTGGCTTCACTATTTCTATCTCTTTTTATTTCGCCGACAGGTTTTATACTGGCTTGTTTGCTCCATGTGTAGTCTTTCTATGAATATCATACAATTTAATTATATATAAGAAAAAACAAGATGAAAGCAAAGTACAGATATCATATGATCAATAAAAATAAAAGAAAATAAGAATATAATGTTATACATATGCGCACACACACACACACGCACACACACACATATCTCATAATTATTTCCCATTTTTTTTTCTTCCTTATGACATCAAATCTTTTACGTAATAAATGTGATTAACAATAAAAAGTACATATTATTATCAAGCAAAATAAATTTTATTTGAAATGTTCAAATTAGTTATTTGAAAGAAAAAAATACTGCGAGATGAATAGGAAACGAAGATACGAAAATTAATATTGCGAAATAAAAAAATAAGAAATTGTAAAGTAAACCACCTTGAAAGATAAAACTGGACATAGGACGTAATCTTTCTCATAAATATTAAAGAGTAAATCAAATTTTTGTCACTAAATTTATCTTTATTTTTTCAATTTTCTTCTTTATTTTATTTTTTTTTTTTTTTTTTTTTTTTCTTTTTTTTTAGTACTCTATCATCGTTCCTATACGTCAAAGTTTTTGTATACTTTATCATTCCATAATCTACCAGTTATTTATTTATTACTTATTTTATTACTTATTTTTTAAAGAAAAAAATAAGTAATTATTGATCCAAAAGATATACAAAAAGAGTGTTACTTGAATTACACATGTAAAATTTTGAAGATTTGTAATATTCATGATTAGAATGAATTGAAGATTCTAAATATTCATGATTATAATGAATAAAAAGAAAAAGAAAAGTAGGATGATACAACAGGAATAATCAGATATGAAAATAACTGGATCTTGACCTCAATAATATATGAAAGCTTAAGAAATCTTCTATTTGCAAATAAATATTCATTAAAATATAAAAAAAATTAATTTCCGTATAAACGAGATAAGATTAGATAAAAAACTTATGATGACGTGGAGAGATCAATGAATAATCTATCCAAAGTAGCATATAAAAATGAAAGAAAAAGAAAAAGAAAAAGAAAAAGAAAAAAAACAAATAAAAAAAGAACAAACATATAGTAATAATATCATTTTTAGTAGAAAAATCTCTGTGCTTAACTTAAACATTTAATACAAACCTAATTCACGTCGTTGAGCAACTTTCTCAGGACTACCATTTAACCAAACAGTTAACTCATTTGGGTCAAAAGTACAATTTTGTCTTTCACGTAATAAATCCTTATTTATAGTTATTTTCGTTTTATTTTGATACATTTTGATTCGAGATTTTCTTCTTCTTCTTCCTCTTCTTCTTTTTTTTATACAATAAATACGAGATACAAATTTTATAATGTATAAGAAATTAAATTACAAATTTCAATATATATTTAAATTTGTTCTCTTATGCTTGGTATTATAACTTTCTCTCGATCTTATAGTTTATTTCTTTTTTTCTTTTTTCTTTTTTCTATGTATATATATATATATATATATTTATATTTATATATTATAACACTTATCTGTCACTTTTAACAAAATTTTATGTACAAAAATAATTGACTCACAAATAAAAATTTAACGACATTTACTAAAAAACTACTTAATACATTATTTTGCAACGAATAAATCTTAATTATTACACGTAGTAGTCAATTACTAATAAAGATATGCGCGTTCGTTTTATTCCATTCTCTGACTAACGTTAGAGAATGTTTTTCTCTCTTATTAACTCATTTCTCTTTATTTTTTTTTTTTTTTTTTTTTTATCGTTCTTTTCTATGCAAACACAAAAACAATTGACATCTGACAGAAATTAGTAACAACTATTCTATAATTTTTTCACATCGATCATCGGTAATATAGTATATCTATATTATCGACGCAAATTATATATATATATTTTTATTAACTTTATAATTTCATTTAAAAATGAACTTTACAAGAATGACTTTTCTTATAATTATATTTATCATATTATTTCTTTTTTTTTTTATTATTAAATGCATTTTAATAAAAATCGAATATTTGAATTTCTTGCGTTTTAGTACAATCGTTCGATATCTCGATTGTAGTACTTCCGTTGAGAATACGAGAATGCGGAGAGGAAATCACAAGTCAACCATCTTGCGATTCTTTCTACTCAGTCACTTAACGGAGTAAGATGAGGTAAGAATTTATTATGAGGTGAATTATTTTATTATTATACTTTAATATATATTTTTATTAATAATTATCAGTTGAACAAATGCATTATAAATATTTTGTGGTTGTGTAACGTAAATTTCAATAAATAGTTATTGTTTTTATATGTTAAGTCTAGTTGTGTTGATGGATGACCACATGGTACTATACTTGACTATCATACATATCTTTTTCTTCTTTTTCTATGAATATTTTTATTCTATTTATACATAAAATGTAATAGTTTTCATGAACAATCACATCGAATGTTAATCTAATTAAGTCCCCTCAATAATTTGTCTCATATGAGGAATGTGTATACATATGTGTGTTTGTGTGTATGTGTGTAATTAAGCTAACTGTATGTTTTAAACTAATTTTTATTTGTATATATTTTTTCTTTTACAGTTCTTTAAAATTACAAAAGAGGCTGGCAGCCTCTGTTATGAGATGCGGGAAAAAAAAAGTTTGGTTAGATCCCAACGAAGTTAACGAAATAGCTAACACAAATTCGCGTAAGTTCATTTGCTGATTTATTAATTAGTCATACTCCAATATATATATGAAATAATAATTAGGATACTATTAAATTTATAATCATTGTTGACGATATCTCTGCTTTCTTTTTCATAAAAGGTCAAAACATCCGAAAGTTAATAAAGGATGGTTTAATTATCAAAAAACCAGTAGCCGTTCACAGTAGAGCTCGTGTTCGCAAGAACACAGAAGCTAGACGAAAAGGTCGTCACTGTGGTTTTGGTAAAAGAAAAGGAACAGCAAATGCTCGTACTCCACAAAAAGTAAGTTCAAAAAATGGTTAATATAATAATTCAATACTTAATAGGCAACAAAGATTTAACTTTATAGATATTTTGATTGTATATTAATTATAACGATAAGTATAGATTGTTATAAGGATTTAATTTAAATTAATTAAATATTACAGGACTTGTGGATTCAAAGAATGAGAGTTCTTCGTCGTCTATTAAAAAAGTACCGTGAAACGAAAAAAATTGACAGACATTTATACCACTTGCTTTATATGAAAGCAAAGGGTAATGTTTTTAAAAACAAGAGAGTACTTATGGAATTTATCCATAAGAAGAAAGCCGAAAAAGCTAGGGCTGAAATGTTGTCAGACCAAGCTGAAGCGCGTCGTACTAAAGTACGCGAAGCTCGAAAACGAAGGGCTGAAAGAATTGCCACAAAAAAACAGGAACTAATGCAATCTTACCAACGGGAAGATGAAGCAGCTGCTTCACAGAAAAAATAATTCTTAAGACCAACCGTTTTATTATAAAAATAAAATATATTGAAAATTATTAATGCATTATTTAAATTCAAATTATCTTTTATTTACCAACTTATGATAATATTTTGATTTCACATATAATACATATTTAACAGAATTGAATTAAATTCTATAAATAAAAAGACAAAAAAAGAATCAAATAAAATAGATTTAGTATATAGTTTTGTATATCATAAAAGATTATCTAAAAATATTAACTTGTAGCATCTTATAGAATAAAAATAAATATATATATATATGTATAGTTTACAATTTTGAGAATACAATAGACAAAAAATATGATTTATTATAAAACTTTTTATAGATCTAGTTGCATCTAGTTTTTAATTTAGAATAATATTGAATAAAATAACACTAGATTTGAAACTTACACCATACGCGCCTAGCGTACCGACATTTTACATTCTTCTGTTATAGCGAGCGTTAGTATCGAAGGTGTCGAGTATTTTTCATTATTACAAAGGTAAATTCTTGTTTATTTATATTAATTCGATTATAAAACAAAATAAAACTATCATTTATTATATCGGTAATATTTAATTGAGATAAATATTAAACAGTATATTTGTAATTATGAAAACAGTTTGTAGCATATATTTAAAAGAGAGGTTAGGTTTCTTAATAATAGGTTAATAGTCAAACACGTATAATAATTATTTTTAATCGTATAATTATACACGTAATTTTTCAATAATATAACAACATATATATATATATATATATATATGTATATCTGTAAATGTATATGTATATACAGCATTATTTAAAATAATCATAAAATATCATTTTTAATATGTTTTTTCTCATGTAATTCTTATGTAAAATATAATAAGAATAATGTAAAATTCATTCTTTGCAATTCACAGCTGGAATGTATATTAATCGATGGCCTAAACACTGATACAGCAACAATGGATCACGATAAAAATGTTAGTAAACACATGAGCTATGTAGTTTGATCTTTGATTTTTWTTTTTTTTTTTTTTTTTTTTTTACTTATTTTTCTCTTTAATCTTTAATATTTTTTATTATTTATTTTGTTTGTTGATCCTTCATATATAGATTGGTAATAATAAATGTGTAGTATCTATCTTTTTATCTTTAAATACCTTGTGTGTTTATCATTTAAAGTTATTTGGTGTGTTAACCCTTTTAAAATACAAATCATAAATAATTAATTTCATTGAAATATGTTAATGATATTTTAACATATCAATAATCTTTGCACGAATCAATACAAGTTTTGTTTGTTTGTTTATTTTGTTTTCAATTTAGTTTAACACTCGTTCACATATTTTATTTGTTTATATTTAGTAACTACTACATACATTGAAAAATTACTACATTTTACAATACAATTTTGTTAAACACGATATTTAGATTGGATTTTTTTTTTTTTTATTGGAAGATGTACAAAATAATGTTGATGTTGCTTGCAAAGTATAAAAAAAATTATTAGAACGTTAATATGTTGTTTGAATCAATATAAATATTTAGAGCGTACACCATGTATGTTTGTACATGTGTATTAACAATTATTAGTAATCATCAGTTTAGTTTCATTAGATATTGTTCATTTTATTTATTCTTTTAGAGTATTTTAAAGATATTATAGTTTTTCTTTTTCACGGAACATAAATTAAATGATTACTTCATTAATATATATGTATGAATGGTTGTATATATGTATATATAGTTGTTTATATGTATAGTTGTTGTAACATGTTCATTTATGCATATGCAATTAGTAAATGTGATTAGATATACGTAATTGCGAATACTTTAAGATAATTTTCTTATTTTTGATTATATATGTATATATATATATATTTATAATACTTTTCATATGTTGTAAATTTAGGAATTATTATTATTATTATTATTATTTGATATTGTCTATCTTTAATCTCGGTAATAATTTATTTTTATGTTTATATACAAAAAACTTAAAATTATATATTATAATTTATCAATGGTGTTATTAATTAAATGAAATTTAATTTTAGTTACAAGAGGATGAACAGATCAATGTGATTACACGATCTGCAGCTAGGCATCTTCGTCGTAAACGATTAAACGAAGCAAGAAGAGCGAGAAATCAAATTTTGGATGAATTTATTAATGGAGTTGATGAGAAGATCAATCAAGAAACAGAAATTCATACTGACAGTGAGAAAAATAAATTGACCAAATCAAAGGCTCGTAGATTACGTAAAAAGGAAAAGGCTAAATTATTGGAATGTTGTTGTTGCGATACATCTGTAGTCTCAAATAATTTTCTACATTTAGAACCTAACTGTTGTATTAAATCGAATCAGAATACATTTGATTCTCATCTTAATAATGTGCAACATTTTGAAGATCTGTTTGCACAATCATTACTTTCTTTAGGAAATCATAAAAAAACAACAATTGGAAAAAGTGAAGATAATATCGATTGTGAATATAATTATAACAAGCAAGATATAAACAGATCACAGTCTTATCTTACTAAACTTGTTAACTTTGATTCAGAAGATTTATCTGACTCATCACAAATAGTTATTTTCTCAGGATTACCAAAATCAATAAATAAGGAGGAACAAACTCATTGTACGAAAAATAGTTCGGGTATAAAAAGGTCTTATTTAGAGTCTTGTAATATTAAAGTAGTCCAATCTTCGGATACTTCTTTTCCAGTATCTGAAAGTTCATCGAGACCGAATTATTTGTTTATGCCCAACTCAATTTATAAAGATCATCAAGAGGAAAATAAGAATATATCATTGAATGATCAAACATTAGAAAATATTGTTACAACAGATACTTTTCCATTAAAATATGCTGGTAAGTTAATTATATTTTTTATGTACAAATTTCTTATTGACTAAATGAAATGCTATAGAGTTGATAAAGAAAAGTTATTGTTAGATAAGATTAACTTATCAACTAATTCTAATTAAACACGTTGTTTTTAGAAGATGATGATTATTCTTCTTTGGTGATTCAAGAAATATCTGAAGAACCTTCAAATATTGACAAAATAACACAAGATTCTGTCGTACAAAAGGAAGAACCTTTGGATGAGTCTAAAGAATTAATTTTATCAGGTATGTGTACAACACAAATGATACAATACGCGATCTATATCATTTTTTAATAAACTTTGTTGATATAACATTTAACAATTCACTTGCAGTAAACTCAACGTTAGATACTTTAATATCTACAAAAAATGAACAATCCAATACAATAATGGATTCTAAGGGAAGCAGTACAGTTAAAACTAGAGAGGAGATAAAGGCTGAGCGTGAAGCAAGAAAGGCAGCTAAAGCAGCTAAAAAAGATAAGGGTAAAGTTGTAACTAATACATCCGACAAGCAGAATATTCCTGTTAAAGTAGATAATATTTCTAATGATAATGAAAAACAAAAAACAAATATAGTTACGATGTCAGAATCAAATGATATGTCTGCAACAGAAAATAATGTAAACAATACCACGACAGGAAGTACTGTTTGTATTAAATCTAGAGATAAAAGCAATGCTAAATTACTGGAAAAAAGTAATAATGCTTCTATGGTAATCCAAAATTCATCTAAAGAAGCTTCAGATATTGAAAAAACTTCACAAGATTCTGTCGTACAAAAGGAAGAACCTTTGAAAGAATCTAAAGAATTAATTTTACCAGTAAGCTCAACGTCGGATACTTCAGTTCCCACAAAGAACGAACAATCCAATAAAATAATGGATTCTAAGGCAAGCGATATAGTTAAAACAAAAGAAGAAATAAAGGCTGAACGTGAAGCAAGAAAAGCAGCTAAAGCTCTTAAAAAAGGCAAGGGAAAAGTTGTTGCTACTACATCCGAGAAGCAGAATATTCCTGTTAAAGAAGATAATATTTCTAATGATAATGAAAAACAAAAAGCAAATATAGTTACGGTGTTAGAATCAAATGATTCATCTGCAGTTGAAAATAATTCAAACATTATAACGACAGAAGATAGTACTACTAATATTAAATCTGAAGGTAAAAGCAAGGCTGAATTACGCGCTGAAAGAAGAGCTAAACAAGAAGCACAAAGAGCTGCTAAACAAGAGGCACAAAGAACTCCCAAACAAGAACAAGTTGGTGAAAAAGTAAAAGTTAAAAGTAAACCAAATATTGTTCAATCAAAGGCAGTTGTAACAGCTACAGCGGATCATCCAGTAGATGATATAACGAATAATATTGTAAAGAAAACAACAAAAGATGATACGCATCAAGTAAATCTGTTTAAACATTTGTATCATGAAAGAGAACATGCTTTGCATGAAGTTACTACATCTAATTATAATATACATCCAGCTATACGAAAACTTGGTGTACAGTACGAGAATAAAATTATTGTCGGTAGTAACGCCAGATGTGTAGCGTTTTTGGTAGCTATAAAACAGCTTATAGGAGATTTTGAGAGACCATTGAAAACTGATTTTAGTAGAGGCCTTGAAACAAAATTGAAACAATCTGTTTCTTATTTGCACGCCTGTAGGCCATTAGCTGTTTCAATGCAAAATGCATTGCGTCATTTAAAATGGCAAATGACTCAATTAGATTCTACGTCTACCGATACAGATGTAAATATTTCTTATTAATTTATGCTAAGTATTTCTTTT